AGGCTCTTTGGCCATTTAAGCCCACATGCCTGCAACTCTTGTTCTAGTCCTGTAGCCTCATTAACAATCCAATGCCACTCACATATCATTTGGTTGTTATAACTTTGATTGTAACGCTTGTTTGGGTTATTTGAGTATTCGAACTCTTCTTCCAGTGTCCAAGTCCTACCTATTGCTCTAAAGATATCTCTAGGATAGAAACAAAGTTTTTCGACTTTATTGAAAAATTAGTTCCACTTTGACATATTTGATTGATGTGATGTTTATTTGGAATAACAATCGCTTTTTATAAGAAAATTTTATTTTGTGTCTCATACAACTGACACTAGTTTGTGGACCCAAAAGTGTAAGATTGAGGTCCACAAATTTGTGAGAAAAAAAATAGTCTCATACAACTAATGTAAGTTGTATGTGACACAAAATAAAATTTCTCGTTTTTTATACTACACATATTTTTTCTAAATCGTACTTACTGTGAATATAGTGTTTACTAGACAAGGAATCATAATTACCTTTTTAGTTTGATGATACAAGACAAGGCACGCTTCTAATTAGCATATTTTCTGATGCACCTAAGAGAATCTTAGTAGTGTAATGCTATGACTCACTTTGTTCTGTATGACAAGATAGTGCATGCTGTTGTTTTGTATGTGGCACCTCATAACTCCCACGTTATTGACTCGTGAATGTACCAGCACGATCCCTCCTTCCAAGACTAGAGAAAGTCTCAATATTATATGTTTATTTGTAACTTATAAAGGTTTCATTTGCAAAATCAATGTCGGTCTGATACCCCCTGTAAAAAAGAAAACACAATATTAATATGAGCATAAAAAATAATATTATAGAAAATGAATAAGACTTTACCAATCAGACTGTGAAGTCTGCTAATTTATCGTCCCAGCGTAGTTTGATTGTCCATGCATTAGTAAGAAGTTGTGTCATGGCTCCGCATTGGGTGGAGATAGGTTCAGATCAGGTCAGACTCTTTAATATGGTACTTATTCTGATAAAGCAGATCTAAAAATATCATAGCGGGTTGAGTGTTAGTCGGAGTAGACGAAACTTCATTTCGATTCATATTTTCTGAGCTTACGTACATTTCAAGCATTTTATCGAAAGTAAATCTTTATATTCTTCCGAAGCCCTTCAAAATCCCTTAAAAATCATGTAAAGTTTCACTGTCATGAATATTGAACTCGTCATAATAAGCCACGCCTTGAGGAGTAACTGAATATAAAATTTATCAATTACCTTAAGTTTCACCGAGCACCTACTAATACCCATTTTCTTGCATAACAGAATGACCAATGTGTGGTACTATTTTGAAAGTGGCAACTTAATACTAGTTGCAGAAAAATAACTATAGGGCGTCGAGTTATTCTCTAGCACAATCTCTCGCAACTCAAATTCGTCTCTTGTCCGTCATTATTGAAAGATTCAAAAAACTATAAATGAAAATGAAGAACAAATGCAAATTTATATCAGAGTAATAAAATGTGAGTTCTTCATGAATACAAGTCCGTTTTAAGTAGACGAAAAATAAATAGTTGGAAGGAAACCGACAAACCGCACCAACCCGATAATTCGAGTCAAACCGAGAAAAAAATCCGACTATGGTTTGATTTGATTTGGTTTGGTGTTGGAAAAAAAATCCGACCATAATTGGTTTAGCTTGGTTTTAACTAAAGAAAGTCAAACCGAAACCAAACCAACCCGACATTACATATATAGAAATTTTAGATATATTTAATATATAAATATACTTATTGTAATGTAATTTATAAATATTTCTTAAAAAATTTCATAATTTTATCTTTTAAGGTATTATTTCAATGTTGGACTTTTTTGAATGCTCCAATAAGTTTTATAGCCATTAATATTAGTAAATTAAATAATGCTAATAATCAATACTAATGCTAACAAAAGACATTCAATTCAATATTACGAACGGGAATGTATTGAATATTTATTTTTTGTTTTGCAATAATTTAGATAAAAATGCATAACCTATTTTTATTTTGCTTTAGCTTTTAGTCATGTAATTAATACTCCCTTATTAGTCTATTTATTTTAGCATGACTTAGTACTTTTAGATTATGTTTATTTTTATTATGGCTTTTAATTAGCAATATTTATATTATATAATTTTATTGTCTTTATTGTTGAATATTTTAGGATAATGTCATGACATATCTCATATTTTGTATTATTTTCTTGGAAAATACTTTATATAGTTGTATCTTACTAGGATTAAAGAAATATTTTGAACATACGTTATATATTTTGTTCTACGAAGATTTTACCGGAAAAAAATTTGAAAAACCTGAAAACCTGAGAAAAATCGATATTGAAAAACCCGATTTTTATTGTTTGGTTTGGTCCTTAGATTTAATAATCCGACACAATTGATTTGATTTGATAATTGTAAAATCCGAACCAACCCGGCCTATGTACCTTCTTAGTTGGAAGGATATACTTGAAAGGACATAAAGGCGTTACAGATGCGCTATATATATTTTGGTTCTTCGTTTTTTCCCACATTACTTTGGTTCTTCAAGTTACACTAGTAGTCGTACCCGCGCGATGCGCGGTCAATATTAAAAAAATATTAATTAAATTAAATTATGATCAGGCTTGTTTGATCCTATTAGATCGTATTGCTTTAATAAAATTCAATTGTCATCTTGTTTGTCAATACGATATACCCAATAATGAAATCTCTATTAAATCAAACGTACTTATATAGTCAGTGAATAACTTTTTTGTTCTATTTTTCTTTATTATATTAAACAATATTTAGTATTCGCTTTCTTTTTGTAATATATGAGAAGATATATAATTTATTACTATTGATTTTTTTTT